CGCTGCCGCCGCCCGGCTGGAACCCTCATCCGGGAGGCTCTTGAGGGGAGCGGCCGCGCCTCGGTCTTCAGTCTCGCTTTCCTCCCTAGATAAACGTGTGAGGTGAGGTGCCGGGGGAGCCGCCGCCGCTGCGGCGACGGTGCCGGCTGGCTCCCGCCGCCCCTCCCTCAGGCGCCGCCTCGGCTGGTTCCCTCCTGCGCCGCCCCTCGCGTCAGCACCCCTTCCCGGCCCGGCGAGGGGCGAGCCTCTGAAGCACCGGCCAGGCTTAAAATATGTATATCTCCGTGACTTTTCTTCCTTGCTTAACTCCTGTTGCAGTCACTCCGCATTACTTCTGCGCGCACCTGTCTGAGCCTTCCTGCAGGCGGACAGTGCTGCCCTGACCAAGTTCAAGAAAACTTCGTTGCCTGACCTCTCCTAAAAATTTTTCTTAGCTCTTATTCTATTCTGCACCTTTTCTGTACTCGCTCTTCTCCTTTCCCCCCCCTACTCCTGCAGTCGCTGTCAAGAACATCTTGTATTATATTCATGTGTTAATGTATAGGTTTATTTTTAATTTTGTGTATAGTTGCAGAGTTTACAACTGTAGCTAAAAGGCAAGTTTTTAATGCCTAATCTTCGTACAGAAAGGAGTATAACAATTTTTTTTTTTTAAGTTTTGTGGAACGGCTGAATGCAATGTTCATTGCATTCAACTGTTCCCAAAACTTAAAAAAAAAGGCATCCAGCAATGCAAGAAGATAATAGCTGGCACCTGTCTGTAATAAGCATGCTGATGTTCCTCAGAGTCTCTCATTCCTCTAGTTCTATACAGTTGTGTGGTGAAAGGGTAACATTTTTGAAACCAAATTGTTGAACTTTAAAGGTGAATTGTCAGTTCATTAATTGAAGGAGTGTAGATAACAATAGGCTAAAGGTATGCTAACTTGTTGGAAGACTAGTTTCCAAAAGGTTAAGTGGAGAAATTGGGAACAGTGGGCCTAAATATCCTGGAACTGCAAAATGTGAAGATTCTGGCATGTCTTTTCAGAACTAGAAATACTTTACTAAATATGTGAGTGTTAGTGGTGGCTGAGTATTACACTGCTCATCCCAAGCTTAGGATCAGCTCTCAGAAACTGACTAAAAGAGTGCTGGGTCTGGGCTGGACAACGTTTGACTTTGTTACCTAAGGACTGGAAAGTTCAGAAAAATTCTCTTTTGTGTTGCGATAGCTAATTTTGAACTGCAAAAATAGTTAATATTAACTTATTCTAGAAATGGGTTCCTTAATTAGCATTTGTGGTTTTGTTTCTGCCTTTTTTTAGGTGCCCACCTCTCCCCACACATGGTAAAGGCACCCAAAGATGGGCAGAGTGTGAATAGTTTGGAGCTGTTGTGTTAGAAGCTGCTGTATCTTCAAGTGGGCATGTGTGGCAGGAGTTTTTGGTTCCTTATTCCTGAAGTAGAAGGAAGCTGCTACTTTGCTAAGGTAAGATGCTGTTCATCAGCTGGCAGAAAACACTGTAGCTTGCTCTCTGGGAGGCCGTGTTTCCTGGCTTCTCCTGAGTGTCTACCATTCCACTTAACGTCAAATTTAGGAAGAAAGGTATTCTGCCACGTTATTTTTGAAGCATGTCTCACTCTAGCTACAGGCAACCTATGTGTTTAATTCTAGATCGTGTTTTCTTGTACAGGCTGTCTATCAAAAATTTAGATGTTGAAATACTGCAAATACTGTATCAAGACTTTTTTTTTTAAATATATAAATATATAGTTTCTGAGAGGACTTTTTCTGCCTTATTTGCTTATCTTCACATTTCTTTATGTACAGTTTCCTTTAGAGGTTCACATTAGTTTGCAACAGATATGGTATTCGATGAAACAGATTCTTATTATCAAATAGTAGTAATTGTAATAGATCTGTGTTTCTTGTGGGGTTTTTTCAACACAGAAAAATGGCAAACTATTTTGGGGCTTGCTGGCTTTTTTTCTTATACAATTGATGGGTGTTTTTCCTCATTTTCTGATGTCTTAGTATTGGTTATCTTTTCATTAGTAAATGTTCAGCGACTTTCCTGATGTTTCACACCTTAGGTGTATTCTTCTTGGTTTTCGAAGGATTTGCTTACATTTATTCTGTCTGCTGTATTTCCTTTATCTTATCTATATGGTCAGTGAGAAGAATGTGGTAGTTGGCAAACTCCCAAAGTCAGCTTATTCCCATGAAGAGCAAATTGAACCAAAGGTAACTTCTCTTGCGCACCATTTTTCTTTCTTTTTTTTCTTCTATTATTTTGTAAATTGGATTTGGAGAGGATTTCTGCCTGCCAGCAGTCCTTCTCACATCACTAGTAGCAGAGTTGTTGCAACAGTAGTATTCTGGATGGCAAATTGTTACGAAAAAGAGCTTGGTGATGCCAGAATAAGTTCAGCTGATTCATCCCTGTGCTTTGTTTGTTCTCAAGCAGGACATAAGCATTTGGAAAAGAGATGATGCTCTGGCATGTTTTGTTGCAACTCTTCTTCATATTATTGCTACTGTAAGGATTAATGATAAAACATTAGCAGTCCAAATATTGTTCTTCAGGTCACAAGCCTGCAGCACCATTGTGAATGGTATGCCATATGCAGATCAAAAATGATGTACAATCTAGGTGAACTATGTTCTTGGAAGCATGAGGCAAAGTACCTTGTGTTCTACCATATCCCAAGGTACAGGTAATTCTGAGTAAATGTTAGGTTTGTTTAATATTATCAGTGCTGTTGTAGGAGCCTTTAGTTGATGGTGCGCTCCACAGCAAATTGTGTTTGTAATTACAGATTTCCTAACTTCAGGTTATGATTCTAGCTACTTGGAGAAGAGACTATAGCATTTAACAGTCTTCTACTTTTTGCTGTGTCTTGCCTACTGTTTTTCCTATTTTTTATTTTTTTTATTTTTTTTTTGCTTGGGGGGAGCAGGTAGGGATCGTTAGTAAAGCTCTAGATACTAGCCTTTTATTAAAATTAAAAACCCAAGCCTGAAATGCTGCTGTGAGACTTTTTTTTTAAGAGAATCTGATGAGTTGTATGTGCCCAGGTTTTGTGGTGTTTTGAAAAGGCTGTGAAATATCTTACTATTTGCTTTTTGTTTTTGCATGATGGGGTGGGTGGTCCTTCCTTGGATTTCTTGGACACCAAGAATACAATGTTGTTCACCGTTACACGGAACTGAGAAGTGCAGTTGGTTTTCACTTGGTGGCTGCCATTTCCCTTTAGCATCTCTTCTGACCTAGTTCTAGCAGCTGCTGTTTCAAGAACTTCTGAGTTTTGTCTCCTACTAAGATTCTTCTTATAGTTGTTCTATTATGTTTACTTCTATAGAGTAGCACCTTACTACCTGACTGAATTGAAATGTGATGTTCCAAGTGGTCCAGAGCACTGTTCCTTACATTGTGTTTCTCAAGATTGCTATCGGTAAAGTTGACAGAATTTACTCTGATAGAAAAGTTTCTAAGGCTATTTTGTGCAAGAAAGAATGATAGTCGTGTGGCACAAGGCATGGTATTCCAGCCTCTGTCTGCAGGCTGTCATTTGAAAATTCAGTTTGCTTGCTCTATGTAACTTTTTGTTTACTATTACTATGCAGCTGATAAAAGCTCTAACTTTGAGCTTTTTCAAAACATAGTTGAAACATTTTATTAACTATATTAAAGTGTATTTTCCGTAGTTACTTGCAGAATGATTCTCAGTTCAAACTCATTTTAACCTGGTTACAGTGACAACCACTTTACTTCCCACTCCTTACGACCTTTTTACTGTTTCTGTTTCTTACTGCTTGGATATTGATATGATACATAGAAAAAAATCATTGAAGTAATTGGGAGTTTTCCTTGAGCCAGTGTATGGAATTGTGCCCTTGTTACTTTCACATTTTCTTGCAGTTGTTTGGAAGTGTTGGGTCTCAGCATTTGGATATTTGGAATGGAAGCACTGCATAGAAGTGTTTATTTAGTTCAAAATTATTACTGTTCAATCTTAAGATCAAAATTATCTGTGCTATGCTATGTTGTTGTAAAGTGGGTCTTTATCTTGTTTTGCGCTTTTTTTGAAGTTAAATAAGGATAATGACTGCATTTTGAAATGTGTAAGTCTAGTGCCTGACAGAGACACATATCACCAACCTGACTTGTATCCTGAAATTTTGACAGCTCTATCGCAGTGCTTTACAATAACTTGAAGTATGCAGTGAGAAATGGGTACGTCTACCTGTGTTCTTACTATTTTTCTATACCATCTCTTACAAAATTGACCAGATTTGTCTATCTTATTAAGAGACTAATCCTTTAGGAAACTTTAGAATGTAAAAGGCAGCTCTATGCTCAGGGTAATTTCTGTTGCTGTTCGTCTATTGCAGGCAGCAGCTACTGACACTTGTTTTCTTTCTCGATTTTGAAGTTTGAACTGTATCTTCTGCCGGTATACTAAGACCCTTGTTCACCTGATTTTCTGTCCAATCCAAGTGTCTTCCTTGTCTGTCGCTTCTGTTCCTATCCTGTGTGAAAATAGAATGGATCTTAATTTTTTTATTCCTGGGTTTTTGTTGATACTAATCTGGTACCATAGGGCCCATTCCATGTCTCTTCTGAATCCCAGCATTGTGGGGTTAGTTGGAAAGACTTTAAGGAATTTAACCTGTCTTCTACCTTTTGACAAGTGAATGTTTAGCTCCCATTTATGTGGAGAATGATGAGCTTCCCCAGTAGTTTCAGTGCTGTGACTGTAATTGTTGTCAGTTTGGGGAAGAAAAAAAAAGCAGTTAAAAACCTGAAATTGGTGTGGAAGGTGATTAGACTTGGTTTGGCTTGCAAGCCAGCTTGAAGATTGTAGTCATTTGAGTGAGATACATTGTTCTTCTAAGGGGTGGTGGTGGGGAATCTTAGCAATTAATTGACGGTTTCTTCTTGCGCCCAAGGGAGGGTGCGTTTAACTTCCAGCATGAATTAATGCTTCCTGAGTTACTTGGAATGGTCTGAGGCAGGATCAGGGTCTGTGCAGCTAAATGTACCTCACTCAGTATCCCAAACTAAGCAGTCTAAACCCTGTTTGGGGTAAGCAAGAGAAGAGGATGTCTAAAGTTCACTTTACTTTTGTGCAACCACAGAAAGGCTCAGGTCACATTGCTTTATGCATGTAGTAGTCTAAAATTTTAAATATACATAATAATATATGCATGCTAGGTGCACTGGAAGACATAGTTTCTTACTTAAAAAAAAACAAAACAAAACGTGACTGCGCTTTGTTCTTGAACTGGTTTAAACTCTGATATTACTGATTACCAGAACTGCAGGTAGTGAATAGGTGTCTCAATTCTGAAGTTTGCTTACTGCCGCTTGGTCTGAAAGCAAGTTTTGAAATTTGCGTAGTGTTGCTGAGCCCCTGTTAAGAGCATGGTGGAGGATATTATTTCTATAGGGCCATTGTTGTATGCAGGCTCTTGTGGGCTCCCTAGCTAAGTAGAAATGGAGTATCCACAAGATAGGAAGGGATGAACTTTATGTAGAGAGGACTCTCTTGACTGGAGCAGGTATTATTTCATGTATTAAGATTATTTTTTCTTGAAAACAATACCTTTTTAATTTTGTGTGTTTTCTTCCCTCTTTTCTTTGTCATTCTTTCTTTCTTTAAGCTATGCAAAGGGATTTTATGTGAAGCTATTATTTTGAAAGAGAAACTAGGCCAGGGGCCGTATGCATAGGGACCAGTGGTTGAGACAGTAGTAAAGAAATATTCCAGGTTTAGTTTGCTGCTCTCTGAAAGGCTTCTTGAGGGTAAGTTATGTAGGTTTGTCTCTGTCTTGGTACTGGTCTGAAAAATAGTTCTAATTTTGTACTTCATGTGTTGGATGCTAAGTGCCTGAACAATTATGAGGTTCACTAAAACAAACCAAGGCAGGTAGCTAAGTAATTCTCCTTTAAATAAGAGTTTTCCTTGGTTTTCTTAAAGCAGAGTATAGGGTTTGAAGAACAGCAGTAATGAAAAAAATGAGTAATAGATTTTAAAAATCCTTCTCAGTTGGTGTAGAGATCTGAGTTTTTCTATAGTGCTGATCACTTTTAATTGATATTTTTATAGGACCAGCTTACACTGACCTATCATGGCATCCAACAAATTTGTCATTAAGGTAAGTAGAATGTCATAGCTTTCATTTAAAAAAAAAAAAAAAAGAAATCAGAAATACTGCTTAGAATGTGTGTACGTTGATTTTAAAAGTTAATGATGAAGAGGTGCGTCCTTCAGGCTTCTGGTCATAGTAGCATACTTTATATCGTTTTTTTCTCTCTCTTTGGAAGCAAATTTCTTGAATTGCTCTTTATCATGGCATAGCGTGTCTGAGGTCAGCTGAAGATTAAAATCGTGTAACTAAAAGTGGTTAGTTGTGTAGTTAGAATTAGAAACTGCATGAATTCTCAGTAAAACAGTATTTGCTACCTGAAATAAAATTTAGGATTGATTCTTCTCTTACTGTAATCTTGCAATATTATTTGTGTACTTCCCAGGTAATCTAAGAGTTCCTGCTTTAAGGCGTAGCAATGTTCTTAAACTCTTTATCACATTTGACTCTTTATTTGCATCTTTTTTTTTGCCTCTTTTCCCATTTTCAGGGATTAGTTGTCTTACATCCAGTAAAATGCCATTGCCGTTTATTTTGCAAACAGTCTCTGACTTTTGGTTGTGTATCTGAAGAGTAATGCTTTTCAAAAAATTCTGTAATGAACATAGCACTTCATAATTCTTCTACCGTAACTATATCAGCTTATCAATAAATAAAACTAGTTGTTCAGTAAAAATTGTGAAACCTTCTCTTTTGGACCTTCTTTCCTGTTCCTGTGTTCCTGTATGTCTGGTGTAGTTTAGGTAACGCATACATTTCAAAGTGATTAGCACAATATATTATTCTCTTGGAAATGTTTTTTCCAGGAATTTTCTGAACAGAGGAGACTTTTTCCTCTGTGGATTGGCTTGGGTTTTTTGGAGGGCAGCTACAAAAACCTTCCTGACTGATCAGGCTGTGGAAGCTGTTGAAGCTTGGTTTTGTGGGTAACCAACCTGTTCAACAAGCAGACTGAACGCTTCATTTTTGTGTGCTATGTGTTCTTTTCCAAGGAAAACTGCTGTTATTTAGTGGGAAGTTTGCTTTAATTTTTTTACTGTTTAACATGATTGTAAACCTTAAATTGATAGTATCAATGTCTATACTATTCACTGCTTCTGAATTGATATAGGAGTTAGGAGAAATATCTTTGATTTTGAGCACATTTTAGCTGATACTCTGAGTCTATGTGCCACTGATGCGGGCAACAACAGGAGCTGAGGCTGAAGGCATTGTTTTTCTCACCTGAGAACTCTTGATATCATGAACGTTAATGTAAAATGACTAAAATGTATCAAATACATAATGTAAATATGTGAAAAGCTGACTGGCATTCGCTTTGTGCACAGATGCGTAACATTTTACTTGTTAGATCAGGGATTTTGTATGTGAATATTTGCTTCTTTACGTTAACTGGATTTGTATTTAATGTAACTATTCCCTTTTTAAAGACTGTTCAACTTTCACATAAATTTTTCAAGGAAGATCCCTGTGCAGAAGATTCTCCATTAAAAGGCACAAAATACTCTCACTCCTCTCTGCAGGGGGAGTATTGAAAATACTACGTTCTTACTTTTAGGTTCCTCGTGTTTGAAATTGATAAGGGTATTTTACTGAGTCTGAAAATGTTCCATGCATGTCTCGTCTTCTACGTTCTCTACTTTTAAGTTTTCAGATTTTGTAAGCATGTGTATGTTAATCTTGTTGGTAAGAGAGCGAAAAGTACAGCTTATCAGTCTTTCAAGTCTTAGCTGACTGGAACGTAATTAAGAGGAAAACACCTGTAATGTGTTTAATGGCTTAGCTTCTTAACAGCACGTATTTTATATGAGAATCTCTGTACCTCCAATGTAATGGTCAATTATTTTCAGTAGAGGGAGTAGTTGGCCTATTTTTGAAAGGCGATCCTAAGCTTGGTTTTATGGGCAATTACGAGCGATTGAAATAAAATAATTGATGCAGTAAAATAGCTTTAAACCTTAATACAAAAACTATGGTTAGGTCCTAAACATGCTTGCTTCACTTGCCAAGTGGCTGGATGCCATAGTGTTGTGATGTGCAACAGATAATATTTTGTGCAAGTTAGTTTGATCATCAATTTTCAATTTTAGGAAATATTGATACTTCATAAAGCACTGCATGGTAAAATACCCCCAAATCTGGAAAATAAGACATATGAATTTAATTAAGCTTTCTGTGTGTGTTGCTAAAATATTTTACTGCTGTTCTGAGAAATAAATCTTAACTTTAATTGGTAAGGCTTAAAGCAAAATCATGAACTCTGTATGGATTTGAAAAATACTATCACTAGGGCCTTGTTGAAAACTTTGGACAAACTAGAAAGAATTGCTCTTCCAGAATTGTGTAAATTGACTTTATTCATGCCAAACTGCAAAACTAAATATAGTAATTTTTATGGCTGGGGGGGAAAAAAAAAATTTATTTTTTTTCGTTTTCTGCAATTTGTTCATTTGCCAAACACTGAAGACTGTAAGTTGTTACTACATTTCAATAGTTCAACTCAAAGAGAAGCTTTTTTACTTTGCCATTTCCTACTTTGAGAAATTAAGAGCTCTGTTCTGTCTCAGATTTGTAGGCCTTTGCTAGCACATATCTTAGATTAAGATAATTATAGTTTCAGTGTTCCCTCTGCTCATCCAGCACACTCTGCAGTTGGTTTTCCAGCAGTGTTCCTTGTTATCAATTTAAATTACTGCATGCTGGAAGTGTATATGAAACTTTTTGGTCCTTGCTACTTCAAACTTTTTGCTTGCTTTAAATTGTAAGTTCCTTTGAAGCAGTGAGCATATTTTTCTGTTTTGTATTGGGAACAAAGGTGGAAGTACTGGATATGATGGGACAGAAAAATGACAGTACAACTGTAATGTGGTCAATTTTCCCCTTCATTTTGCTTGTGTATGTATCCTTTTTTAATGTTGATGTTTCTTAATGTAATCATTAAGATATTGATTTATAACCAAAGGCGTCTTAACATCTGTCTTTGCATGTCTTAGAAGTGCTCCATGAAAGAAAGTGTGCATAGAAAGAATGTTGATTATAGGCCCTAACAGTAGGTAGAAGGAAATGGAAAGAGATCTTCCTGTCAGACAGTATGCTAGTAGGTACTTACAGCACCGTACGGGTCATTTTAGGGTCTGCTCACAGACCTGTAGAAGGTATTATTGTCTTTGGTCTGGACTAAGAAAATGTGCAGTTTATTTTGAAGGGGCCTTTTGTTGATATTTCCATGCATGTTTAAATATGTTAATAGATTTCTAATGCTAAAGCTTCACCATATCTCTGGCCTTTCCAGTGCTTGCTTTCTTTTAGCTACCAGTTGAAATGTAATACAGCGATAGTATGTCGATAAAGACTTCTGTATCAGATATGTCTGTTTGGATGATTCTTAGGAGACATCTAAGTGGGCAAGACAGATTAAAGTTCACATTTCTGTGAAGTGTGTCCATTGAATTAGCTAATCAATATTTCTGTAAATATTTTGCTCTGTGAGAAAGTGGTGTGTTTGCTGCTTCTTGCAAGTAGTTTGGAGAGAAAAAAACTAGGGAGATGAGTAGGTTTTCTTATCTCATTTTTTAATTTTTTGCTGATTCCATATAATGAGTAATGGAGGATAGTAAGTAATGCATTTTACTGCTCTATTAAGTCTATAGATACATGAATGCAGTGCTCTCAAGTGGAGAGTGAGAGTAAGGAATACTGTTTGTGTTTAAAATAATTTTCTTGTATGTTGTGACTGCTCAGAGTTACTAGACTGATACTACAGATGCTTTTTTTTACATATGTTGTTTTGAATTGTTTAGCATACTGACTTCTAGTTTGAGAACTAGATTTTTTTAGAGTGCTTAGTTAAAATAACTAATAAATACGGTGTTTTCTGATGTCCATTTCTTTTTCCCCATTGCAAAACTAAGACATTTGTATGTGAAATTTATGTAGTTGGAGTACTTGCAAATGTTTCCATAGAAATAAGCTGTAAGTTTGATTTCTACAATCTGATAGAGTTTGTAAAAGTTCTCCAAACTGATTAAAGGTCATTGAGTTTTATGTGTACTGTATGTTCTTATATTTGCTTTTTGGGTCTTTAAAAATTAAGGAATAGCTATATTAACCATTTAATGGTAGTTTTTTTGTAGGGATGGTGTTCTCCTAAAGCAACATTGCTCAGAACAACTATAAATACAGGTGGTTGGAATTGTTATTATCAAGTAGCATCATGCACTTCACTCAGCTGTGATGTTTGTTTCTATACGAATGGATAAAATATGATACTTGTCTCAAAGGGCTTAAATGTCTTAAGAAGATAACAAGGGACCTGGGGGAAAATATGATTTAAAATAGGAAGTAGAAAACAATAATAATGGATGGAGGGACATCTATTTGATTTTCTTTCTTAACTCTGTATTTAATTCCCAATTTCATGGGACCAGATACGGAATGACTAAAGTGATGAGTAAATAAGTTCCAGAAGAAAGAAAAGAGGAAGTTGGGAGGTAGAGAGGGGAGGAAAATTAAGTGTAGGATCTAATTCTAAACCTCCTGGAGTCAATGGAAGTTTCCTCACTGACCTCAGAGGATTAATTTGCAAGCCTAGGGAAATGATGAGTGGATGAAGAGTTGGGAGATTAAAGCGTTAGCAAAAGGAGAAAGGAATAGGAAGCCAGAGGGATAAACAACAATAGTGAAAACACTGCTTTCACAGGGATCACTTCAAATAAGGAATAAAAGGATGGTTCAATTTGCATTACTTTTTTTAGTAATTAAAATAAATCTGATTAGCTTTAAAAGTACCAGTTGTGCCAGAAAATTAGGTTTTTGCTAATTGTGAGCTATATACTACTGTGACAGTGATATGGGATTCTAAATACACACCATACCAAGTGTTACTAATTTTTTTTAGATTTAATAAATTCAAAGATGTAATCTCCATGATATTTGCCATATGCCTTATTTCTGACCAGCACTACCATATTTTACGCCTCCACTGTTCTGCTTCTTGGAGATCTTGGTGG